GGGGACAGAGCCATCTGACAATTATCAGCTGCCTTTGGAGTCAGACATCAATGAGGCAGAGAAACAGCCTGTTCCCAGTGTGTGCATGTGCAGATTTGCCAGGTGAAGGGACCAGCTAAAGAACAGGGGTCAACTTGGGAATAAGGCCACAGGTGGACGATGAATGGGCCCTCCCAGAAGAAATAAAAGAGGAGCAAAAGGGGAGTGGAGTTTGCAGGAGACAATTAGTTCGCTTAATTGGTTCGGGACTCTCCAAGACTCCTTGTTTTGCAGATATTGGCCTGGCAGCTCTCCAAGTCAGATAAGGTCTGTGACTGTAAATTCCCCCTTGAAAGCCTTTGCTGGATGTGAATGAGCAGAATTCACAGTTAATGAATCAAAGGGTTTTTTGTCGGGATAAGAAGTTCACTTCATGCTCTCGGGAAGCCGTTATCTTTGGAGATGGGCTTACCGGGTATTTTGCGAGGACAGAGCAAGCTTCATAGAACCTTATCAGGGCCAAGGAAGTCTATGTCTATGTCCTCAGCTACTGCAACAGCTAGATTACCTTTGTGTAACAGCAGCTAAGGAAGGGCTCCAAACTTTTGTTGATCCAAGAGAGTTTTTTGTTGCCTACTGTAAATGGCATACAGATCTGACACCGAACCCTGGGTCCAATCCCTCCCACCCACCAATCTTTTGACTGACAAATGGGAGCCTTGGACATCTACTGGACTGGAATAAAGCCAGAGGGGTAACTCAAGTGACCCACCATGTTACTGCTCTATCCCAAACGACCCAGGCCTTTTCTTAAGCAGCTGTTGCTGCTGTGCCATTATCTAGATGGCATAGCAGGGTTCTCCTTAGTAGATCTCCTTATTGCGAGGGTCTTAAAGACATGCCGGCTGTCTCATCCATTCCCTTAAGCCCACAAAAACTGCAAACAGAACGTTTTTTGGGGGGAAATATGGGGCTAAAATGATGTGGGCATAGCTGTTGCAGATATCCTAAGTCAGAGCTTCTGCTGTCAGCCACAAAAATAGCAATTTGTGTGTTGGGGAAGGGGGGGGGAGGATGAAGCTGGAGGGAACGGAAACGTTACCATAGCTACAAGGACCTTGGTGATAACGTAAGCTGGCGCTGTCAAGCCAATTACTACGTTTCAGAAGCCCATCTTGAAACATTTCAAATGTGGTGGGGCCAGAAAGCATCCATTGTAGTTACGTGGCTTTTCTCTTTCGAGAGAATGTATGCTTTTGAGTCAGTGTGGACTCTTGGTGTTGGCTGCCTGGATGAGTCCTTGCAATTTTTCTGGCAAGGTTTTTCAGAAGTGGTTCGTCCTTGCCTCCTTTTCCTTGGCCTCAGGGGTGGGTGGGTGGGAACTGGCTCAAGGTCACTCAGCTGGCTTTCTGCCTAGGGTGGGAATAGAGACCCCAGAATCTAGCCTCATGCTTTAACCAGGACGCCAAACTGGTTCTCTTCTTTCTTACTTCCCCGATAAAACCAAGCCCATAGTCCAATCGTTCAGTATGAAAAGAATGTCACCGTCCAGATGGGGAGAGCACTGTACATTTCTCGTGTAAACAGAAAAGCTCTGTTATTTCAGCCTTCGGGTGACCATCGGCAATTCAAAAGGCATTCCTTGATCGGCTTCGCCCCACTTTTGACAGAAGGCTTCTTTCTGTCTTACCAGAAATGGAACTTACCTTCTCGGCGGTCCGATTCCAGACTGTGACAGTGTGACCCATTTTTATCAAGTTGGAGACAATGCCGCTGCCCATCAGGCCGAGACCAAGGAATCCAATCCTGCGTAGGGAAGGAGAGGGTGAGAGTGGGCCACAGCGCAGGGTAAATCTGCAGGCACGTTTATTTTTTTTCCCCAAACCTCACAAAAATCAAGAGGCAGGGAAATGGAAGCAGAATTAACAAGTAGAATGATGCACAAGGATAGACCAGGGGAAATCTTATGATTCCCAGTTCCAAACGGATCACACAGCTTGCTCTATGTGACAACAATTTGCGAGCAAATGGCCATAAAAGGTATTTGTTTCCACCTCAGGGGGGTTTCTGATCCAGTGCCTCTATTGCCTCTATTATCTTCTTTTCCTACTCATTTTCTCATCAACTAAAGAATAGGGGAAAGGAGGCCANGGGGGGCCTCACCAATTTTGGGATCTAATTCTGCTCAGGCGCTTGTTTCAGAAGTCAGTGTGTGGCATCCAAAGAGACAATTGCTCCCAAGAGACAGGAAGTTTCCAGCCCCACCAGTCCTCTCACAGAACTCCTTCCTAAAAGATCCGACACTATAGAGCAGGGGGTCTCCAACCTTGACAACTTTAAGCCTGGAGGACTCCAACTCCAGAATTCTCCAGCCAGCAAAGGAATTCTGGGAGTTGAAATCCTCCAGGCTTAAAGTTACCAAGGTTGGAGACCCTTGCTATAGTGTGCACATCAAGCAGCTGCGTCAGCAACACACTAAGAGCCTGCTGTGGTGTAGCATTATGCAGTGCAGGATTCTCCTTGTCCAAAACCCAAATATATATGTTTCCCCATCTTCAAGTAATGTAGACCCTTACTATCTCTGTTATCAGCACTTCTGGGCTTATGATTAAGAAAGCCACTGCTAACGAACGGAACTCTTACCCAAGAGCGCTTGTGGTTAAGAACGTTTTACACACTTTTTTTTTTCAATTAGGAGGACTGCCAGACTCCAGAATAGAATAATTAAAACTACTTTAGGGAACCTGGGGGAAGAGCAAGCCAGCTTCCCCTCCTTGCTGTCACCTCTCACAGCTGATTTGTGGAAAGCCTATTCCTAACCAGGTTATGCTTTGCCCCACCATGCTCCCATGAGCATCCTGCAAAGCTAAAATAAAACATGAAAGGCACAGCTAAAAGGGCCCATTTGCAACTGTGCATCAGGACAGCGGAAGAGTTGGTGGGGTTTGAGGGTTTACCTGAATGCCTTCATTGCTCAAGTCTGTTTCCCTTCAGCAAACGCAAAGGGCTGACATCCTGAGATGTGGCTGCAGCGGCAAGTAGGCCCCAGCTTGCTCTGAAGGGAGCTGGAGGGAAATTGCTTCTGACAGCATGACAGGAAGTGCAACTGAGGCTCTCCTGTCACTCGAGAAGAGGGGGAAGCACAAGGAGGGCCTGGAGGCAGATATGACCCAGAGGGCCCTTCCTGGAAGATTCAAAAGTCCCCGCCTCTTCCTGGTGGTGCAAGAGCCATTTGGAGGGGTGGAACCTCTCATGCAATTCCAAGTCCCACCATTCCCACCAGAATCTTGCAATGGAGTGTGCCATGAAAAGAGGATTTTTACAAAGCACTTAGCTCCAAATGGAAAATCATTGGATTGTGAGGGAGCCCCTGGGCAAGTTTATTTTTCACTACTCCAGCAATTTTATCTATTGGTCACAGCAGGGTGTTTTTTGGGGGGTGGGTGGGGGAGAATTCATTCTCATTTTATGCACACAAGTACTTGGTGAAATTCAGCCAGCTGGCATGAAAACAATAGGAAGGAATGAAGGGAGGGAGGGAGGGAAGGAAAGGAAGGAAGGAAAGAAGGGAGGGAGGGAAGAAAGGGAGGCTTTTCATTCTGAAGAAGGAAGGAAGGAAGGAAGGAAGGAAGGAAGGAAGGAAGGAAGGAAGGAAAGTCCTCTTACTTCTTGTCTGTAGGAGTGATGCTGCCATTGATAGCCGTGCTGTCCGCTGCCTGGATAGAAGTGGACCCGGTTTCCTAGGGAAGAACACATCCGTCAGTGATTAACTTTGCCTTAGCGAAACAGGCAGGATCTGATCAATGAAGGGAAATCAAAAGCAAACTCTTCTATACCTCTTCACACACCTTCAGCTTCTTTGTGATGGCCTGATAGCAAACTGTTGGCTGTGTGGGAAAGATAAAAAGCACACATTGTAGAAGAACAGTCAAACCTCAACTCAGCTGCAGGCTAAGGGGCCCCATTCACCCAATCAGTCAGAACCATCCTCTGTGATAGATTACGCTAAGAAAGTGTGCTTGGCTCCATATAATTTACTGGATTTCTGTAGCTGAAGGAGAATAAAACTGGATATGTCTATTCCCAGCTCTAAACTGTATCCTGTACACCAGTGTTTCCCAACTGTAACAGCTTGAAGATGTGTGGATTTCCACGCCCAGAATTCCCTGGATAGCACAGCTGGTTTTTCTGGTTTGACTAATCCATGGTTTGTTCAAAAGAGATGACCTATCCACCCTTCCCAAACCATGTGTCAGCCTAGAATTCAATTTTTATTATTTTTGCTCACCTTTTCAGTTTGGCTAAGCAGGAAGTGATGGAAATGAGGGTCACCATCTTTCACAGGCTGTTAACAGCAAAGGAACAAATTGAGAAACCAACACAATGAAACATCAAAACTTGCAAAACATCTATACACACACTATGAATGGGTTTCAGTTTCAGATTCTGATGATGAAAAGTCTTTGGTGCCTTTTTTGGAATCCAGAACAGTTATGCTGAGTTCCTTTGCTTACTTCAGGACAAATATAATTATTATGCATTTGATGGGGCTAAATACATGAAAAAGCCAGGTTATGGAATGCAATTAATGAGAAAAAAAATACTAAGAGTTGGCTGAAAAGCATCCATGCAGCTACACAGAAGAATGCCTGAAAATAGATCCTTCCTTTACTTTCTTATATATAGGCCAAGAAAACATTTTCTAATTTAAAAGAATCAGATTTAAATTATTGGCTTTAAATGGTATTCCTAAGCATTCTTAGGAAGCAGCAAGTGACACTGAATGAAGTATAGGTACCACAGATGATTTCATTAGTGTACATTTCAATGACCTTGCAGGGCAAGATGTTAATCACCAGATATAAAGGTTTCAGTGCAGATAGCCCACAACTTATAACCACAACAGAGTCCAAAATTTGCATTACTAAGCAAGTCGCTTGTTAAGTGAGGTTTGTCTTATTTTATGACCTTACTTGCCATAGTTGTTCAGTGAATCACTGCAGTTGTTAAGTTAGTAACATGGTTGTTAAGCAAATCTGGCTTCCGCTTTGACTTTGCTCATCAGATGAGGTCATAAAAGATGACTGCATGACCCTGGGACACTGCCACCGTCATAAATACGAACCAGTTGCCAAGCGCCTAATTTTTTATCATGTGATCGTGGGAATGGTTGTGTGAGAAACGGTCATAGGTCACTTTTTTCAGAACTGTTGTAGCTTTGAATTGTCACCAAATGAACTTGAAACTTGAGGACACATTGCTTGAATGTGATATACTATTTCCCTCCCTCCCTCCCTCTCTCTCTCAGACACACACAATACACCAAGAGCTGAATTGTTGCTTCTTCTGAGAAATATGTAAAGCATTAAATCACCTCGCTTACACTCGGTGGCCACTTAAAGCCTGCCATGGTGCCAGTCATCATTTTCTTCACTGTGCTTGACTCAGGAATTGTCGTGTCCTGTGGAGAATATAGACCAGTGGTGAGTACCATCTGTAGAATCCCCAAATCTGTACATACAATCCATCTTGGGAAGCAGTTAAGTTGGAAGAAAATGTTATTTGACAAAACAGATTTTTTTTCCTCTCTCTTATATATACTTTCCAAAGAGTCCTTATGGAGCCTACTTTCTGAGCAAAATAATCTAGAGCAAGTTCTTTCTTTCATGACACCTACACAAATACATGAGACTACAATCCTCTTTATTTTTTATCAAGAAGAAAACTGTAGTGGTTGGCCTACAATTATACATACTGCAACAATCTGGAAAGAAAGCTGAGAGAGAGAGAGCAAGAGAGAGAGAGATAAAAAAGAATAGCTGAGCTGGTCAGCAGAGTTTCCATTCCTCTCATTTAAACAAAAGCAAGCATAAAGAGTAAGCACATGTGTTACCAGTAAGCTACAGAGATAAATCTTAAGTGGCTGCCCATTCACATGCAATGTTCTTCTTTCCCCGTTCTTAAATGCAGTACTATCTTAAGCCAGCACTGTTTAAACTATATTCGCTGAAAACAGTGCAACATAAGCTGTTATAGATCCAGTTTTTAACTGTGTTAAAAAGTATGTGGGGCTGGTAAATTTTATTTAATTTCCATGTTGGGTTTAACTTGAGCCCTTAGATGGCATTTTATATAATTTCTCCTGCCCAGCTGCCCTGGAGAAAAATATAATGGATACATTGGAATGTGTTCTACCCTATCTCCAGAATTACTTACTTCCTAATGGGGCCCAATCATTATTTCTGTAGTGGGATATAGTTTTCACCTCACAAATCTTCTGCTCGTTGGAAACTCTGCAATGTGGGTCAAAGCTTTTGGCATCCAGATTACGGAACAACTTCGTCCAATATTTTTTTTTCCATTTTGCAAGGCACTCGCCTTAAATTGAATTGTCTGCTATTTTGGTTATGCTCTAATCATCTTACTTCAACAACATGCTATGCCCTGGAGACAGAATGATTTGAATGACTGAAAAGCCAAGTATTTTTCAATAAAATAAATTCCTTTTCAAAATCTAACGGGAGCAACTTTTTATTCTTGAGCAATTTTTCCCCACTTGCCTGTTTTCTGGATTTGTGGCTTTCAATACCCCAAATTTTCCAGCCACTTCAGCAATAATACTGTGCTGAGAATTCTGGGAGTTAAAACAGGTGCATCTGGCAGCCTAAGTTGCAGAAGGCTAGTCTGCATTATTTCAAACTTTAGGTGGAATGTACACAGAGCATTCCTATCAGCTAGGAATAGACAATAACATATATATAACAAATCCAGACATCTGGCCTCTGTTCTTACAAACCTCTGGGTCCATTATTTTATAAGCAAAAGATATTTGTTATCTTAATAATCTTCTCCTCCATTACAGAACTCTTTAATAACATATTTTCCACCAGCCTTTGAAACCCACAATCAATATTATGCCGCTCTACGAGATCCAACAACCACAACCTAGGCAATTTTTGTTACCAAGACAACTCAGGAACCAGAACTGCTAACAGTCACTGTAATCACCACCATCATCACTACCTCTAATTTTCTTTTATACATTCCAGGTGTTTTTTTCTCTACAATCAAGATTCATGTTAGGTTTGTCTTTCATACAATAGAGTTTGAAATCTTCCTTCCACAATGTCTCAAAGCAGGAAGTTATGCAGGGATGACAGTTGAATATGAGAAGCATCAAGAAGGCATCACAAGACACAACGGAATCTAGGATATGCATGATTGAATGCCTTATAAAAGAGATCTTGGGGCTGGAGAGACAAAGGAAGAAGGATGCCATTTTATTCATTTCCCAGAATGTTAAAGACTCTCACAACAATTTCTCTGCCACCCTTTTCACTTTGCAAAAGAAATCCAGGCAAAGGCCCTCAAAATCACCATCTTTATCATCCTTGAAGGTAAGCTGGTTATTGTTAACAATGTTAAAAACAAAACAACCCTAGCCACTAACTCAATCTTGGGCAGGTTTCTGTTCTTCCAGATTAAAGCCTAAAAGCTTCGTTCACAATTCCAAAGCAAAGAATACCACTGATAAACTTCATGATACATAAGCAAATTCTAATGTTCAAAGAGAAAAAAGAAGTCTCTGTGTACCCCAACTCCAGAACTCAAAACCCTACTGGAAGTAGCTTAAGACAGAAATCTGGTCTGTCACCAGCAAGATATTAGATTGCCTCTGAAAGTTGTCAGCATTTAAATCCAAAACCAGAAGAAGCAGGTTCACAACTGTGAATTGAAAAAAAAAGGCAGTGGAAGATAGGAGTGGCACAAAGTTTGATTGTGGATATGTGGTATGAAATTCTAGTATATCTTGGTTGTTCTGTTTCATAACGACCTTCAGGCTCATCACCCGGTAAAGAATGTACATGCTAGCATTATCCACTTTGTTGTTTACAACTACATTGAGAAGGTCACCAGCTAGAGGTCCCAAATCTTGGAGAGGAGAGGCAAACGTTCTACAAGTGAACTCTAAATGTCCAAAGATGAGTCACACCACAACATGGGAGAGGAGAAAGCTCCAATATTGGCAAGAAAATATGAGGAGCTGATGTCTTCTGCTGGAATCATTCACTTCTGGAGCGTTTCTTCATCTTATTACACTACAATTTTAAGCCACTTGTCCTTATGTAGTTGGAGATGGATCAGACACACAAATGAGATGGAAATGTTAACAGAAGGTGCTCTGGAACTACCCAAGGTAAAAAAAAAACAAAAAACCTGTGTCGCCATTTCCTCCGCTGATGTGCGGCAAGATGGAGGGCCCGATGTCACTTGTTGACTTTAACAAGTCCTAGAACATTTTGGGTATAGTAACGCACAAGGGCCGGCTAATACAAGTTAATTATGACTCTGAAAGGGATATTAGGTGGTAGGTTTCCCAAATGGTTAAAGACATGCAATTTTCCAAACGGTCACAACAATGAAGTCATCTGGACGGCTGTTAGGACTACCTTCCATCTGGACAAGCTCACAGGAGCACGGGAAGGAATGCGCGGCAAAACACAAACCTTCTCGTCTTTGGGAGGGCGCCCTCGCTTCCGGGGGCTTTGCTTGTACATTCTCTTCAGGGGGGATTTCGAGCCTCGCTCGGAGGACATCGAAGACGCTCGCTTTTTCGGTTTCCTTTCTGACAAACCCGCTTTGTGTTTCTCCTCTCCCACTGACTGCTTCCCCCTCTCTTCGCTGGAATTACGCCGGTTCTTCTCTTCAGCCGAGTTATGAGAAGACGCCTGAGAGATCACAGAACAGAAGGATGAGGAAAAGACGGGGCCAATCAGCTGGCAGCGGTTTCATTTCCCCACACTCACCAAGCCCGAGAGGTGTCTGGCCAGGTGTCTGAAGCGCGCTAAAGGCCCCAAATTAAAATAAAATAAATAAAAATAAACAGGTTTAAGCTATTGAACAAGAGAACAAGAAGAGGCTCAAAGTACAGCCAAGTGCTCTATACCGGGGGGCTCCTTTGGAGGAAGAACAGGTCCCAATTTCAGAGTGCACAGCAGATCTACACCTCCAAGTGCTCAAGAGGCCCTTTGATCTCTTTTTAACCAAATCAATCCAAGGCGGTGAAAATGAACAACCTTTCAAAGGCAGTAACTGTGATCCTAACTGTGATCCTTTAGCCACAACCCCAGAGACAAAAATATGCAATCCCTTTCGGAGAAGGAAGCGGAATGGTTGTACAAATAGCTCACCCCCATCCGTGGCTCCAAAGAACAGGGTAAGTTGGCACCCTGAAGAACCACCTACCTGGTCCTTGCCTTTTCCTTTCTTCAGGAATTCTTCCACAGCATCCACAGCTTGTTGGAACCTCTTGCCTTTGTTAATTTTGATCATTTCTTCTTTGTGGGCATGGTACGGTTTCAGCTGCTCTACTTTAATCCAAGCACTAGTGAAAAGAAACCAGAATCACATTCTTCGTAGTCAAAAGAACAAAACGATCACTTTCAGTAACAATGGCATCTCTTTTAGTCGGTGTGTGTGTGTGTGTTTCTGCCCCCTATCAAAACCTTCCCTCCTTTCTCCACAAGGTCACTGCCAAAGCTGACCCATATATGGGGCAGGCACCCTGTTATCATAACAGGATTGTATTACGCTGTATGCAATAAGCCTCATCCTCAGGAATGGAATTTGCCCAGGGCAAATAAAACTGACATGTCTTTATTCCTCATACTTTCTAAATTGTAAATCGTTTTTTTCCCTGCTTCACTTTTAAAACAAGATTTAGGGATAATCACTGTTCATTTTTTCAGTTGAGGCTCTGCTTCCCTTCCTGTTCCTGCTTGTTTTATGGTGACCAAGTTAAGCAATGGGTGGAGAGGTCCCAGATACAGATAGTCCTCAGGTTATGACGACAACTGAGCCCAAAATTTCTGTGGCTAAGTGAAACATTTGCTAAGTGAGTTTGCCCCATGTTACGACCTTTCTTGCCACGGTTGTTAAGGCAATCTTTGTATTTGTTAAGTTAGTAACATGGTTGTTAAGTGAATTTGGATTCTCCATTGGCTTTGCTTGTCAGAAGGTCGCAAAAGGGGATCACATGACCCTGAGGCATTGCAACTATCTGCCTCCAACACAGAGACCTCATCAGAGCCTTTCCCAGACTCCAGGACTGGCCCATGTTCCTCCCTAACCTCCTCACTGGCCAAATCTGCTGCCAGTTCTGCTGGCGGGCCACAACAAGGGCTGCAAGTGTATGCCCAGTTCCCCTCTTCCCACCAGTGGCACCACCAAGCCCCAAAGTGTTGTTATGTAACAACATAACCCAGAATGTTCATTTACTTTTACTTGAGGCCACCTGCAGAGAGAGACCTCCTGATGGCACTGAAGAACCACGAGCAAAGGATAGGATTATCAAGCGCAAAGATATGTTAACCTGAGCTGGCAGACCTCTTTCCAAATCCCTGCAGTATTCACAAGCCAAGAGAGAAATGGGACCACTTCAATAACTGGGTTAGGTGGCTCAAAATAAAGTGGAGTGTGCGAGATAGGATCAAGCTACTCTAGGCAGATAAGCGGGTATGCTTTTGTTTCCTAGAAGTCCTATAGGAATGGTATCTCATCATCATGCAGAACTGGGTCGAGGGCATTTCAGGAAACGGGAATTGTGACAAAGATGAAATGCAGCCCTGGGGAAATTTATAGCATCGATTTACTGAAACCAAACCCAATCTTTCTTTTGCTAAATTTCCAACCCCCAAAATATCAATAAGCCGTTTGAGCCTTCCTTATGATACGAGCTTATTTCAGTTTTGTACGTGTACCATGCACCCCAGAGAGAAATATTAATCATGCATCTAGCAGATACATGAATAAGACTTGGAGCACGAGTGCTGGCTCCATTACCAAAGCTGTCATGCCAAAATGGAGACTATCATATTTCCCTGAAAATAAGACAGGTCTTTATTTTCTTTTAACCCCCAAAATAAGCGCTTGGCCTTATTTTCGGAGAGGTCTTATTATTTTTGAGGTGAAGGAGCCCCCTTAACCTCGGCCTGTGGCCTACAGATCAGCTGATCCAGAGAGGGCCAGAAGTACTGTCTCTGTTTCTGGCACATTCTTGCCAGCCCTAGCGTCGCTGGGCCTGCCTCTGTTTTTGTGGCTGCCACTAAGAGAAGGGGCGCGATAGGTAGGTTTGCGGTAGCAGCCTCTGCGAGGCCATTCTGCGTGGATGGCAGCTGCAAGTGGGGCGCATGGAGCTCCAGGAAATGGCAGGGACTGGATGCACATGCATTTAAATATTTGGGGGGGGGGAGGGCTTATTTTAGCACATGTGCTGAAAAGCCTGATTGGACTTATTATCCAGGGAGGTCTTATTTTCAGGGAAACAGGGTAGTAGGAATGAAAGAAAGCCTACTTCCTTGGGGAAGGGAGAGGTCTAGTGTGCCGCTTTTCCTTCAGTTAACAGATGCTCCCAAAGCCTCCTGCCTTGGCAGTTTCAGAGAAGCAACCAAGACGTCATCCAGGCTTCTTAATATTATTTCCTACATGCTGGTTCTCCAATACAGGTAGTCCTCGGCTTACAACCACGATTGAGCCCAACATTTCCATGGCTAAGCAAGACAGGGTTTAGTTTTGCTCCATTTTACAACCTTTTCCTGCCACGGTTGTTAAGAGAATCTGGCTTCCCTGTTAACTTTGCTTATCAGGAGGTCGCAATAGGAGATCACGTGACACACACACACATAGACCCAGGACGCTGCAACCGAATTGTGAAGCACCCAAACTTTGGTCACTTGATCATGGGGATGCTGCAACGGCTGTGTGAAAAATGGCCAGATGTCACTTTTTTAGTGTTGCTGTATCTCTCTCCAGGGGAGCCAAACCCAGATGCATTCCATGCTACCCCCACCGCACCCCCATTTTAGCGAAGGGGGGGGATCCTCCAATACGTCACATGACGCCGTCATGACATGAGTTTGACACCCCTGCTCTAAACGGTCACTAAATGAATTGTTGTAAACAGAGAGGACTACCTGTAGTGATCTTCCTGGCTTCTGAAATTTCAGCAAACGTATATTTGCTGTGGAAGCTAGAAATCCATTTTTGTTTTTGGAATTTTAATTCTTTTACTATATTTTATGCCCACTAAAAGAGAAGGGCATATAGAGCTCTCCTTATGGCAGGACTCAATTCATTAACTTCCCAGACCTCCGTCTTTCCGCTGCTCTCCTATAGCAAGTGATAAGATTTTTCCAAGTTGAATTCTGAGCCATGCACAATTCACTTGGAAAGACTGACCCTTTTAGCTGCAATCTGTTCACTAATCTGTGCCAGTACTGAACTGCATTTCACATACAGCTCCTATTTTGAAGCAAGAGTGAGAATGAACTCTCCATTTAAAAAGTGTTATATTATATAGCATGCTGAGCAGCCTTTCAAAGGCTTAACAAGCTGTGAACAAACGAAATTACTTTACAGCACCAGATTATTGAATAATCTGGCTCACTAGAAATAATATTTAACACTGTAGTATCACAAGGGCTGAACTTACAGATCACACTGTAATCCAAATAGTAATAAAGTCCCCCTCCCACCACCACTCATTTCACTTTTACAATTTTATTGAATAAACCTAAGTTGAAGAATTTAAAACTAAGTTATCTCAGATTGTGGTCATTCTAGATTAAACGTTCATCAATTGCCCCAAATTACATTTTACAAAATTCCCAGCTCTCCAGAAAAAAAAAAGTTCCCTGATTTACTTATTAGATCCTTTTGATTGTTCAGGGATCGGATGCCCAAACCACGATGGAACAAACTGCACTAAACACGTCCTAACCGAAAGCCCTATCAATTGTGAAGCTGACCAGTCACAGGGAGCCGTGGGTTGCTGACCCCTGATCTAGAAACAAGGAGTGCCATCCCATGAGAAAGGTGAGGCTGGAAATGATCTCACCGTACCTTCCTGTGTCAAATGTCTTTCTTCATTCAGAGGAACTGGGTATATCTAGTTTAATGAAAAGAAGAACTAGGGGAGACATGATAGCAGTCTTCCAATATCTCAGGGGTTGCCACAAAGAAGAGGGAGTCAAGCTATTCTCCAAAGCACCTGAGGGCAGGACAAGAAGGAGTGGATGGAAACTAATCAAGGAGAGAAGCAACTTAGAACTGAGGAGAAATTTCCTGACAGTTACAACAATTAATCAGTGGAACAACTGGCCTCCAGAGTTGTAAATGCTCCAACACTGGAAGTTTTTAAGACTAGATTAGATAACCATTTGTCTGAAATGGTATAGGGTTTCCTGCCTAAGCAGGGGGTTGGACTAGAAGACCTCCTTTCAACTCTGTTATTCTACTCTATTATATATTTTAACACTCTGATTCGAACTTCATCAAAAGGAAGCCCTCTTTACGTTGGCTATCTCCTAGCCAACGGGTGGGAATCCATCCATGGGCCAGATTCAGTTACTCATCTTTAACACTGATTCTAAAGCATCTTTTTCTACTGGCTGAGAGATTAAGACAATTTAACAAAAAGACGTGAAATTCTAGTACGGGAGCAAGAGCTTCACTACAAAGGCTCCAAGGTTGTTGTTGTTTTTTAAAAAAACCTTTGTTTCCCCTTCCAGATAAAAAGGGGGGGGGGAAAGGAGAGGGTCACTTACTGGTCTTCAGTTCCGAAAAACTTCACAAAGAAGCACTTCTTCCCACGCGGTTTCTTCAGGTCCTTAGGTGGGTTAACAATCTAAACAAAAAACAAAAGGAGGGGATGGGGGAAAGCAGCAACAGTTAAAAAGAGATAACACTGATTTTTCTCAAGGTTCATCCAGTATTCCCTGCAGAATTGTTGTGCTTTGAAAGACACCGTTCTGCAAATAAGATTAAACATTAGTGGAAATTAAAGATATATTTGCCATAGTGTCACATAGCACAATAATATGAAATGTGATACGGGTTCAAATTCTGGTTTGACGACAGATTCGCTGTGTGACTTTGGCCTAATCACTCTTTCCCAATCTTACCTACTTCTTTGGGGATAGAAGTGGAGGAGATTCCCATTCAAACCTCTGGAGAAAGACACAGATAAAGGTAGTAAGTATAAAGGCTCCTGGCTCCAGTGGTGCTGCCACAAATCCAGTTGGCAACAAAACGTGCTAAAGGGAACCTTCTACCCAACTGAATTGTGGCTTCTGGCTTATTCTGAGTACTGGCTTTGTTTTAAGGTTCATGTTTAAGGTTTTTGAGAGTAGTGTTTAAGGGGCCAGGCTAGAAATAGAGCGAATGCAATTCCATGTGCCACTCTAGGTACAAAGCCTGCTGGGTGACCTTGGCCTAAGCACTCTCTCTCAACCCTTTGAAAGAGCCAGTGGCAAACCACTCCTAAAAAAACTTTGCCAAGACAACTGCAGGGACTAATTCAAGCAGTCACGGGTCAAAAACTGGCTTGAAGATACAAACATACATTTTTATAAACAAAATGCACCTTTTGGGGTTCTAATTATCATGCACCTTAAAAACCTCCACTGCCCAAAACAGTAGCAGATAAGACCTTATGACCATTATTTCTACATGTAACAGGATTTATGTATTGTGAAGTCGTGTCGAACAATTTTGTGTTTCTGGTATAAATTACCATATTTTTCGGAGTATAAGCTTAGTTTTTGGGGAGGAAAATAATAAAAAGAAAAATTCTGCCTCTGCCTACCAGCATCCATGGTATTCAGCTGACACATGGTAACGAGGTCAGCCAATGAATACGCATAGCAACTAAGCCAATGAGGGCTATTTGGACTCTGAAATTTGCTGTGTAAACAACAAGGAGACAGGAAGGAGCCTGGCTTAGCAGAACTGAAAGTGAAACTGCTTGTGTTTTGCTTATATTTACTACTACCTTGGAAAACCTGTTTTTGGTATTGTATTGTATATTATTATTTTAAATTCTGCTGAATCAGTTACTATGCTTGCTGCTGCAAACTCTGACCAGCCAGATCAGCTTCAGCACTTATTGCAGCCTGATTCAGCACAGCTGATTGGACTGCCCAATACCCCCAATCAGCTGTTTCAGGCTGCAGGGATTGCCACAGACCATAGCTGCCTCCATGCCTCCTGTTTTTGGCCTCTGGTGGGGGGCTACATTCGGTGTATAAGACACACCCAAATTTTCACCCTTTGGGGAGAGGGAATGGCGCGTCTTATACTCCGAAAAATACGGTAAATATGGCAATTTCATGGCTCAGTTAGACTTAGTTTAGCTGAAAACAAATGTTGCATTCCCCATAAAAGACGAGGCCTAGTAAATGGAAACATACTGACTGGGTCAGAATTCATAAACCAGCTAGGATAATGACTAGACTTCTCATAACGCAATGTAATATTAATTATTGTTTAAAAGTCTGGACGCTACGTAGCCAAAAACCATACAGGTGGTCCTCACTTACCAACCACAATTGGGACTAACAATCATTCACAATCTTAAAGTGGTGTATTACATGACCAAGCCCAACTTATGTTAGCTCCAGCTAACACGGTTATGAAGTAAATCACCCATAATCATTAAGCGTGAAATCACGTGCTTATAACTCGTGGTTTCCTGCCAGCTTCCTCACTGACTTTGCTGTGAACGTCACCAATGGTGATCACATGAGTGTGGGATGTTACGATTATCATGTATGCCAGCTGCCAAATATTTGAATTGCAATCATGTGACCCACAAGGATATTGTGACAGCAGTAAATTCAAGGTCTGGTCGTAAAAACCTATTTCAGTGCTGTCGTGTCTTCGAATAATCACTGAACAAGCAGTCAATAAGCAAAGACCATCTGTATGATGCTTGGTTAAGTATTGAGTAAGCAACATTGGGAAAGGTTTTGATTATTTTAAGAATAGCATTTTTATTCCAATATAAAAGGTACATCAGACTAGCAGTAAATCTAAGCATTGGTCATATTTATTGCCTATCGCTTTGATTTTTTTTCTGAGGGAAAAAGATTACTCAGAACTCAGGCTGTAGCAATAAAGAAAACAATGGAAAAATGTACAAAGGGATTAAGTGTGCAGAGCACAAGTTCCCACTCAATACTTGTATGGTAGAATCATAACCATGGATACACTAATCGTTTTTATCTTACGTTTTTAAAATACCACCATGCTGGAACTGGGCAGAGATGGAAAGAAGGATTTACTATAGATTTCTATAGCACTATAGATTTAAAGCTAAATTATGAGTTAGTGTGCAGAGCATGCTTCCTGCCTCCAGGAGAACTAGCAATTACATGATCAGGAAGCATAACAGGAAAGCTGAGCACCTTGAAATAATGTTCCGTATGCTCTCCGTGCTGAATAACTTGGATGAACAATTGACTGCTAACTTAACAGTCCCTGCTCTCTCCAACAGTATTCATCAGAAATGGATTTGTCTCTACCTCCCGGGGGTTCTAAATTTATCACAAAGTAAGATTATGGCTTGTCTTGTGGACGTAACTCAGGTCTAAATAAACTTCATGTTTGAAAACAGAACTACAGTTATAATAAATTATATATTTATTAAGGTTCCTGTGCATCAGGTCTAAATAAACCATGTTTGAAAAACAGAACTACAGTTATAATAAATTATATATTTATTAAGGTTCCTGTGCATTCACGGAATTTATTTTCCTGCCTGCTACCTTTGAAGTCAGCTCTTTATTAAACAAAGCCCTGTAAACAAAAAGGAGGGGAAAACTTGTTCAGCTGAAACTAAGATAAAAACTACATTGCTGCACCTAATCTGCTTTGAAACCTGCCAAAATGCTTACATTGAAACAAAAAGAAAATTTTAGACAGTTTGAATATATAAGAGAACCAGAAGATAAAGAACAGATTAGAATCTAGGAAGAACTTACCTTTCCTGGCCAAGGAGGATATCGCCCTAGCTTCCCCCTACAGAAAAACCAGAAGAAGTCAGTCAAACACTATTAAAAAAAAGCAGCACTTCATCAGTACTATTAGAAAAGAAATTGAAGAACTATATAGTGAACCAAGTGTGATTACAGGACAACATTATTTTATGAAAATACAAAATGAGTATCATTCTGAAGTCCAGGCAGATCCAACCCAATAATTTATTGGGTGCAAAATGCTTTCACGAATGGCAAAAAACGGTTTATAGATATTCATAATGCCTATCCGCTATTAAAAACAAAGTCCAGCTTCTGCAAAGAACCTTTGTATTGCTTCCAATTTACTTGGTAGGGGCAAACTAGAAACTAGTGTCACTGTTGGGAGTTCCAGATGTTTGTAAAACAAATAATCTAGCAGTATGCAAAATTAAGACTCAACTTGGCTAGTCTCAATGATCCTTCTTAGTTTCTTTTGCAGGTCTTTTATTTAAAATTATTACTGCCTGGCTTGTGGACGCTCAGAACTGAGAGCAATTGCTCTTTAAATGCCCTTCTTTTCAGATTAAAATAGTAGCTTCTGGTAAAACCAACTGCCTACTCTAGCTTCTACCAGTACTAATTCAGATTTAACAGCTTTCCTTTAAAAAGCAACTCTACAAAAATAGAGCAAGTGTGTATTGCCAACATGTCTGATAATTGGAAGTCACATTAAAGGGCAATATCCAAATGCACAAAGTCATGGAAAAGTGGACACGATACGTTTTTTTTTTCTTAAGTATACTGAATTAGAAGGCTTTGCACTTAAACTGGGCATAGAAATTACAAAGCATCAATGATGCTGTAACTTTTGGCTCTGTTACCAAATTGCTTCCAAACCCAGGAATAAGAACCATACAGTCTCAACTGTCAGTACCTATCTTTCCATTCCCTGACCATCTAATTATAACTGATGAAGCTTCTTGAATAAGAAGCGAAACATCTTCCCCTTCTTCTGCAAGTAAAAAGCAGTCCAGTTGCCTTTTGAAAGGGGAATAAAAGCACTTTTGAAACAACGGTGGCCTAGATGATTGAGATTTTCCATAGACACAAGCATTCCAAAAACCCACTAGGAGCCTTTCCTTAAGCTACTTTGTTAGACTACATAAAAGCAGAATTTCTTCATCTTTATAAAGTTCAATGGCTTGAAACTATTTTTAACCTTTTTGATGCCCCTAAGGATTCAAAACAACCAGTGAGATCTATAAGACATTGAAATATTTATTACAGATTTAAAAAAGGAGCACTCTTTTCTCAGATTTGCACAGGAGCCTGAAAAAGTAGGCTACTTTAATGTGGAGAGAAAGAGATGGTGCTGGCAGAAGAAACAAAGTACTTCAAAGTACTTGTTTTTTGAAATATACAGCCCTGAAATATATCACTAAGCTTAATCAAGCACAGTACAGGTAGTCCTCGACTTATGACTACAATTGAGCCCAAAATTTATATTGCTAAACGAGGAACCTGTTAAATGTTGTGTCCCATTTTTCGACTTTTGTTAAGTGAAACACTGCAGTTCTTAAATTAGTAACACGGTTATTCGGTAAATCTGGATTCCCCGTTGACTTTGCTTGCCAGAAGGTCGTAAAAGAGGATTACACTGCAACTGGTACAAATGCAAGTCAGTCATCACACATCCAAATGTAAAGCACGTGGCCATGGGGATGCTGCAACAGTCATAAAGGTGAAAAACTGTCATGTCACTTTTTTCAGTACCATTGAACTGTCACTAAATGAACTGTGGTAAATCGAGGACAACCTGTACCTCAGTTCAGCATTCTCTTTATGACCATTGCAAAAAAGGTCATAAAACTGTGTGTCACATACTGGCTCGCTTTACAACCATCACAACTTATAACCCTAATTGCCCAATTACAGACATAACTTCAGGACTACCTGCACTAAGGACAGTTTAAAATGCTTGTATTTTTCTCTGATTTTCAGTATCTTGCTGTCAGTGGTGGGTGGCAAGCGATGTACCCTGGTACAGGTATACCGGTGCCTGCCCGGAGCATGGGGTACAGTTCTGGTATGGTGCTCTGCAGGGCCCAGCCCTTACCTGTCTTTAAACTCTTCGGTGCTTCCATGCACAGTGCGTACAGCACCTGCGCGACACTCCGCCAAGCAGCTGGAGCATCGCAGAGCGTCGCTGGAGGGTAGAACACATGCACATGTTCATGTGGAGATGCCGGGACCCGTTGCAATTGGTACAGTTGCAACGGGATCCGGAATCCACCACTGCTTGCTGTACACTTTTCCCTTCCCCAGAAACATACCTCCTACATTACTTAAGAGGACCATAAACTACCACCGGCTACCAAAATGCTATCCCTATAGAATGCTAGAGACATTAAAGCTATAGATGACTTAAGTAATTTAGCCTTGAATCTTTGATGACAAATTTCACTTGTTTACTTAATTTGATATTAATGGATACTAGCAGGGTAGGGAGAGCCATGTTCATAAGAGTTCAGAATTATCACAGCAAAGGAAATTGGGTAAAATGTGCCAAAAGCTCTTGCTTTTTCTGTCCAAGCCATTAAGAAGTCAATATTATCAATATTAAATATTAAATCAATATTCGATCCAATGCCAGTCCTAAGATGCAAAATGAAGGACACTTAGCTTTACACTCATTTAATATATTTAGATTATCTTCTAATTGTAATGTTAAACTGTTAGTTCTACCAAGAGTCACACGTCTGAAAAGGTAGAAAAAAATAACTTTTTAAGTATACAGTTTTTGATGACAATGACACTTAAATTTGACAATTCAAATTTACCAAGAGCTTTCCACATCTCTCCAGAAATAAAAAAAAAACCAACAGAATTTCCTCATAAATACAATGGGGGCTGCTATATAAACACTTTAACCATCGGAAACATCTAATGAGTAACATTTAAGGTTACACTTTCATACTCCCTAAACCAACTCTATTCAGTTGGTAATTGTGGTTTCCTCTGTATATCATACATAGCTATTATTAAATTGTAAATGACCCTCCTTATTATGGGCATTATATAATGAAGACACTCTAAATGCCCAACAATAGTACAGGTTATTCATTGATGCCACACATTTAAAGGTAGATTTTACAAGTTTCAAAAATTCTCAACTGGCACATAATGATGGGTCGGCTAGTAGCTATCAAAGAACTTGACAGTAGAAACCTACGACTTACATAGCCTTAACCAGCAATGTCTTGCAATCATGGAAAAATCAAGAGCAAGTACAAACCATGCATCCAATTAAGGAATGTTAATTTCAAGAACTTTCACTCTAATCTTGTAATTCCTAACAAGCCCGCTTGCCTACCAGGAAAAAAATATATCTCTCTGTTATTCCCTGTACAGTTGCTGTATTAGAGACCTGCATCATAAAATTGCTGGTAAAGAAGAACCTGCAAGGTTTACTGGTCCATGGAATTAATCCTATGTCATTTTACATGGAAGCCATTCAACTCATGGGATTTTTTGGAAATGGCCTGCATTATAAATCTTACAGGATATTTTATAAAAGGAACACCCGCAAAACAAACTCTAGATGAAGGTAATAAGACAGCAAAGAATAGCTCCCAGAGCCTCTCTCCATAAATTTAGCTAAAATAAATTATTCCGATTAAGCCACTTAAGAACATTATGTGGGAAACTGCAGGATAGCTTCAGACCAGCTCTTCCTGACCTTATTGCATTTCAAATGAGAGATGTCAACTCCCAGAATTCCTCATATCCACCACACAGGAATCTGGGAATTGAAATCCACACAGCAGATATGTTGGGTGGGGAAAGACTACCAGACATTATCCAATTTTGCTGAGCATTCTTACAGAAGCCAAGCTGTCCCCTTAAAAGTTTCTGCAGGAGTCTATCACTTTGTTGTTGTTTGTATGTACACTGAGAGCTTCTGCACCGGAGACAAATTCCTTGTGTCGAAACAAAATTGGCCAATAAATAATTCTAGTCTAGTCTATTTACCCATCCTACTAAGAAATGCCCAGAAATGAAAGATGGGACCATTCCTTTGCATGCAAGGCCTGGCCTATTGCACTAAGCTTCAGCCCTCCTCCTCCTCCTTTTGCTTCAACATCAACTACTCTATAATTATAGGAATTGCAGGAGTACCCTAACCATATTCTTTCTTTCCATGGAGAAAATCTGTATTATTATTACTATTATCCCTTGCAAGAGGGATACAGCTTCAACAGTCAAGAAACAAAAGCGCATCTGAAGTTGAACGTGCTGACCAATACTATGTTGCCTACATTCTAACCTAAGCATAGAACACAAAATTATCTGTTACAATGTTCTACCAGTCATTTCAACCATAATAATACATTGGCAAACAATAGATAGAAACTCAAGGTAAACCTCTCCATGCTCGATTGCAGAAAATACAACTTCAGCAATAGAGTGTCAACGCCTGGAATGCTCTACCTGACTCTGTTGTTACATCCTCAAACCCCCACAGCTTCAATCTCAAACTGTCTACTGTGGACATCACCCCATTCCTAAGAGGTCTGTAAAGGGGGCGTGCATAAGCGCACCAGCGTGCCTACCGTCCCCATTTATCTATATCCATTTCATGTGCCTTTATGTCCATTCTTATACTTGTTTGTAACCATCTGTTTATACTCTTTCCGTGCACTCATGTTCATACATACCTGTTACCTGTACATGTTTTGACAAAGTAAATAAAATAAATAAATATACCGCTCTTCCTTTATATTTCCAACGCAGCCAGTTGAAGAAGGCAAGTGCTTGTTGTTGGGATTTGGGGCGACTTTATTTTTTAGGTCAGTTGGGAAGGTTGGACAGCGAGTAAGGACCCCCCCCCCTTTTTTTCCCCCTTAAACCGAGAAGGGTCTTCTGGTCCTTTTCTCCATTTGGCTGCCCACGAAGGGCTCTCCAGGGAGACGTAGCCGTTGCTGCTGCTTCCGAGACGGCCCCAACGCTTCGCCTCGGCCCAGGCATCGCTCTTCCCCGTGGCTGGTTCTCTCCCTCCCCCCCACAAGTCTTCGGGGCCGGCTGTCACCCGGAGCCCGAGGCTCTACTGCGAAGCGGGCGGCGGAGAGCAAGAAGGGGCCTGGCTATTCCTCGCTCCAACCCGGGGAAGGGCTACCAAGGGTCTTCTCCTCCTCCTCCCTCAGCCCCTTCCGCCCAAGCTCACCGTTTCCGTCTCGCAGCTACACCCCGGACGGTCCGAAGCGCCGCTCCAGTCTCCACACGGCTTTGTCGGCGGTTTTTTTCCTCCCCCCCCTCCCCCGACCTCTTTCTCTATTTATGTTTTTTTGAAGGGCTTGGCCCGCCCTCCGACCCTCATCAGGCCCCGCGGCCCCGCCCTGCCCTTCCCCTTCTTCCCCAGGCTCGGCGGCGCCCCCGCGGCCCCGCAACTCACCACACCAGGTCTCCCAGCCGCAGGTTCACAGGCGGCGCCGCCGTCGCCGTCGCCGCTGCCGCCATCTTCCCGACCCAGCCGGCACCGTCGCTGCGCCTCGGCCGCCACACCCTCCTCGCACCGAACGGACCCCCCTCGAGACACCCTCCCACCCCCGGCTCGTTCGCTCGCTCGGCCCGGCGCTTCGCCTCCCTCCTCCGCCGCTTCCTTCTCCGCGGCCGGCTCGCGCACCGCCCGCTTCTCCTTCTTCTTCTCCTCCCTCAGGCAGGGACGGCTAGGAAGAACAGCGAAGGGAGGGAGGGAGAAAGGGGGGGGGGAAGGCAGAGAGGGGAGCCCCGATAGGCCGGGCCCCTGCACGTGATGCGGGACGCGGCGTCCGCGGGGCGCCCCCCACGTGACCCGACGTCGCCGTCCGTTCCCCCGTTTCCCCCCCCCAAACTCCTTTTCCTTTCCCTTCCCTCCCCCGCGCGCCTGGAAGGCGGCGTTGGCGTCACGTGACGCGCTCGCTCTCTCGCGAACCTTTTTCTTCCCCTTCCCTTCTTCCCGGCCTCCCTTGCGCGCGCGCGCGGGGCCTGCTTCTGCCCACCCCTGGCACGTGACGCGGGCGCTCCGAAGAGAGAAGGCATCTTGGCGGGGCGGGCAGGTAGGGCTTAGGCTGGTGAGAGGGGGTGGGGGCCGGCCAATGGGGCGCCGCTGGTGGTTGGAAGAGCGACGGCGGGCGTCCCGCAGGAGGAGGACAGGGCGGCCGGAGCACGAGCGGTGAGCGCAGCGGGCAACGGCGGGAGAGGGGAGGGGGGGTACAGGGCGCGAGAAGGGACAAACCTCCCGGCGCGCGAAAGCGCCTCCCTCGTAACTAGGGGCAACGGGGCCTTGCTCTCCGCCTCGCTAACTGGGGGGGTGGGGGCGATAATAAGCGGCGCCTTTCAACCTGTCAGGCCGCCTTCCCCTTCATCCTCGGCTTCCAGAGCAGCCCCGAGCGGGGTTGTCACACTAAATTGCCGCCTCCTCGCTTCTCTGGGCCCAAGTCGCCGCGCGAGAAGGCCGGGACTCCCAACGGGTCGGCCCCAAACGAGGTAGGGGACGGTGAAGGATGAGGGAAGGGAGGCAGGAAGCCAGGCCTGACCCGGCCTAACCTGTCCCGCAAGACGGGCTGCCCTGGGGACAGCCTCAGCTTCGCCTGATTGAACCAATCCTCCCACCCACCCACCTCGGCCTTCCAGATGGGAAGGACTCCAATTCCCATTGCCAATTTTGGGGGGGGGGTTGCTAATTATTGCTTATCCAGTAATCCCTAAATAGAAGAAGCTGGTCTGGGGGGAGGAGGGGGAAAGGGAAAGTGGGGAGGGGGTGTTTTGCCAGGTTGGGCTCGAGCCTGGCTGGCAGCTGTTGGCCCTGGGAGGGGGGGGGGAGTGGCTGTCAGCCAGTAGGCGCCTGTATGTATATTCTAAATAAAATAAAATTTGGAGCCCCAGCCCAAGCTCAAAGCTCTTCTTCTTCCTGCAGGTGAAAGGGGAGAGGGCTTTGGGCCAGAACTGAGCAGCAGGGCTTCTCCCCCCACCCAAAAAAGAAAATAATTGGGGTGCAACCGAGATTCTTTGCAGAACAGCTGGTGAGGAAGAAGTCTCTCTTGACCTCCTTTCAGAAGACTTTGGGATGGATGCCCTTCAAATTCAGGAAGGTAATGGCTCTCTTTCTCCTTGCTCTTTATCCTCCTAGATCAGTGTGTTTTAAACACCCCCACTTTTTAAGGCAACGCCCCAAAAGAGCTTTCCTTTTGACAGGGTGCTTAGTTTTCTCTGGCTTTGCTGGTTTCCTTGCAGATGTTTGGTGACTCAAAGTAGGCAACATCATCACTGTCTACCGCTGATATTGTTACCTGCAAAAAAGCGACAAACTTTAGGGAGCACCAAGGATTCCTCATTTCAACCCTGAGCTGCCAATGTTCTCTATCGAAGCTTTCCTTTGCATCGGTGATCACTGTTGCTATTTGCTGTATGATGGATTAAAATGGATGCACTCCCTGCTTATCATAATGGTTTGGTGGGATTTTAATATGGTGTTGTTTTTCAACGTAAGGTGGCCAATAATTAGGGTTTCACAGAGCCCGGAGAGGGTCTTGAAAGATACCCAGGGATCTTTTAAAAAAAACCATTCTAACATGCTATATTAAACATTTTGAAAGCTGGAATAAGGCTGTTTGTGGTTTGCCAATTAGAGTTCATCAATGAGAAGGAATTTGAAGTAGGGAAAAGGAGTTCAGTATTCTGATAGTGCCCACAATACAACTTTGAAATAACAGAAAAGTGTGGAGAAAAATAAACTTCTTGTTACCACAGATAAGATAAGACTGTTATCTTTCTATAAACTGAACTAAAGCTGAGGAAATTAGACAAACTTGGTTTGATTTTGTTCATTTTGAAATGCTAGTGCTTATAAATTTCGTAGTTTATGCTGCTCTCTAGCAATTACACAGATTTGTTTTGATTTCTGTTTTCCAGTGTAACACTATAGAACAATAAATTATATGCAACTCCATAAAATGGAATGGAAGCTAATATAAGTGGGCAGTTAATGCATGAGATAGATTGGGCAATTCTAAAATTAAGTCCAATCTCTGTCCAATGAGCTAGATGGTTTTGTTGTTGTGGGGAATAAATTGGAGGAGGAGGAGCTTATCTGTATGAACAGAGTGGAAAAACAGATTATTGTTAAATATATAATAAAAGGATCTGTTTTCTGGGGCTTAAGATCAGGAAATGAAAAAAGAAAGTGAAGAAACAAGTGGAAGAGGAAATTAAAGTCGAAGTTAAAAATGGAAAGAATGTTCATTATTAAAGGCTAACTTACTGAATGCTGTATTTCTGACCTAGAGAATTTATGAATGGGCAAGCAGTATCTGTTTTCCTGTGAAGATACAATGTTGCGGTATCAGACAAAAGCATTTTACTTTCCCAAGTATTAAATGAAGATAAGGAATCTCAAATGAAACAATGGAAATGCAATAATGGGAGAGAGACTAGAAGCTGTTTTGCTAGAAAGCAAGAGCTGCATTCTTGCAAATTTGTAAAATGGCCTTCATTAAGATGCTGCCCTTTAAATGCATTGGGATTTAAAACTCTTCAGCCAACATTGAACCCATAACACTTGATGGATGTCAAACAAGGGAAGACTACGGCAACACAGGGCTGAGATAAAGGATGTCCAGAAAAGAGCCATGATAATGGACAATAGAAAGAGAAGAATTTGAGAGAACAATAAAGTACTTTAAATGCAGGCGTCAGAGATATAATATCAGGAATTGAATGTAGGGAAATCTTTCTACTATAGAATAAAGACATTGCTGGCAATTATGACCAAAGTCCATTATTTTCAAGAGCCATCTCACATATCACACTGTCTGTCTCTCATCATGCTGTCTGTCTCTCGGTGGCTGTCTGCATTTCAAAAAGGAATACAGTATTCCTTAAATCCATTCTGTAGATTCTACTTTCAAGAGTCAAAGCACAAGCCTGAAATCATTCAGTAAAACGATAGCTGAGCTGCATAATGTTTTGTTATATTACACTAGCTTTTTAACAAGTCTTAAGCTTTGTCCTTAGAGAGTTCTTGTTTTGAAGCAAGTGCCCCCAAGGATGTGGCTGAGAATTAGTGTATTTTCCTTGGCTTCTTTGCATCTATGCCTCTCCTTTGGTGGGTTTTGAAAAAAAGAAAACACTGCTGTTGCTCCGAAGAACTCCCTCCTTGTGCAAATATTTTATTTGTACACAGTTCCGCAGCTAAGTCAGAACAATCTAACTTGTCAAAAGTTTGGAAGAATTTTGACTCTGGCAGTTTCCCCTTTAGCAGAAATTAAATGTTCCATTCATTAGTTTTACTGGCACCAAGGCTCTATTCAGGTCCTAAGATTAAAGATTTTTCTTTAAGGGTCAGTGGCCAGTTTAGCATTGTGTATTCATAGGGTAGTGATGCGGTGGCTCAGTGCTAAGATGCTGAGCTTGTCGATCAGGAAGGTTGGCAGTTCAGCAGTTCGGATCCCTAACTCCCGTGACTTGTCCCAGCTTCTGCCAACTTAGCAGTTTGAAAGCATGTAAAAATGCAAGTAGAAAAATAGGGGCCACCTTTGGTGGGAAGGTAACAGCGCTCCGTGAACCTTCGGCGTTTAGTCATGCTGGCCACATGACTACGGAGACGTCTTTGGA